TGGRCCATTAGTGTGAGGTTTTGTATTAATTTGACTAGGAGCTGGCTGTGTTTAATGCTTGCTCTAGCTGTAGGTGTCAGAGGCTTCCATTTCCACAAGTGTCTTTGTTTTTTATTTCTGGGTTTCCATAAAAACACCTTTTTACATAGAATCTATACAAGCTCTTTCAGCTCGAACTTGCTGCATTTCAAGGGCACCCCTAGATGTGGTGGTAAAGTAGCAGTGAAACCGAAATTTTTGAGATGAAACTGGCTTCTGCCGGCGGGCGGGACAGGTGAAACTGGAGTTTCTCCACGGCTACTGCAGGATGGTGTTTGCATAAGGCTGCAGGTGTCTGCAGCCAAGAATGCTGCAGTTCTTGATGGTGGGCTTTGTCCACCACTGATGAGGCCCCAGCAGCTCATCATCAATTTCTTTTTCTTTCCAGGTTCTTATCTTCTGAATTTGAAGAATGAAATCCACAGATCAAGATGAGTGAGTGTAAGATGAGTGAGGATTTATTGAAGAATAGACACAGGAACAGAACACTTGCAGGGAAAGGGGGACCCAAGAGAAGTTTTTCTCCATCAGAGTGTGCCAGTCTACAGGTTTACATAGCACTCGGGTCCCTGCTAATGGTCCAAACTCAGGCTAAGTCGGGTTTGAAAAAAGTACCAATGCRATTGGTTCAAACTTGTGCTGATTAGGATTTGGAAAAGTGAGCTACTGGTCAACTCTTGAGTCCCCACTTCATTCAGGTCTGCCCAACTTCCACTCTCTCACTGCAGGTCAGGAGGTGGGAGGTTGAGGTGGTCAGATGGTCTATGCTTATGGGTTCTGAGCTGCAGCACTGCACGGAGAGTGAGTCTGAAGTAGGTGTCCATACCATGCYCAGGCCTGGCCAGCAAAGGCTGTGTGCCATGGCTTGCAGGACTTCAGGACCACCCTGCCTGCCTGGTGGCTCCAAGAGGCRGCAGGGCATGCTAGCTGCCTGGGCCCCAACTCACCCAGGCTGCCACTCCACTGCTGCCCCTCAGGAGGAACTAGTAGGCCAGCTGTGTGGCTGCCGGGGCGCTGTGTCAGCAGGGGAATTCTGCTACCCCGTGTTTAAGTCTCTTTTCGTCACTGGGCTATGACTGTCCCAGGTGTTCTCAGTTTTTTGACAYTGTTAGGCGGCACAGGAAGGCTCGAAGAAGGTGGGGTGGGTAATCTCTCTCCCTTAGCACTGCGCAAGTTTCTGGTGAAATCTTTTTCCCTTGTGTKATTGGCCTTTTTATGAAGAGATTCTGTTCTAATTCAAAATGGTCACTTGCCAGAAATACTAGGGTTCCTCTTGGGTTTTTACTATGAGAACCCGGTAGGGATCCTGGAATTAACATTTATGAAAATGTGGGGTTCCCCTAAGACTGYGGCCCCCAAGAGCTTCTCCATTCTTGCACTAGTCTACACTCCATGTTCAGCAATTCTCCAAGTCCCTACAAGCCTATGGCTTTTGCTCCCAGGGAGCAGATCTTACCTGCATTCACCCATTTCTGTAGATTTTAAGGTGATGGTTTTCCTTGTGATCTCAATTCTCTGACAGGTTCAAGGAAAGTTTTTGTTATTTGGTTTATTCAAAATTTTCCTTCTATTGTGGGAGTGACGACCAAGTTTTTCACATGTTGGAGMTGAAACCAGAAGTCCTTCCGATTTTTTTTCACATTCTATCATTTTAAATACCAGGAAACTGAGGCTTGCTGTGGTTAAAGGAGTAGCTAGAGTCTTCCAGCTCTAAGCCAGAATTCTTCCCTTCGTCATCCTGCTTCTTAACATCTCACAAAAGCAATCTAGGGAACTGGCTTCAGAAAAAGCATTGGAAAGCATTCAKAATCAACTAGTGGTACTAAACACTCAGGATGTGTCAATCACCATGCTAGAAATTCTCATAGGGAAATATTTCTGAGTTGTGAAATCTTATCTTTCTGCAAGATAAATCCTTACCTTAAGTACCTGAACTTTGCAGATAAGGAAATCGTGGCTCAGAGATATTCAAGGAGCTTGTCTTTGATATAAGAGGAAATAACAAGTGAGGCTGGCATTGAGTCTTCTCTCTGCAACTAACTAGTTATATGACTTGGGCCAACTTATTTAAATTCTCTGAGCTATACTGCACAAAAGGGGATAAAATACTAATTACCACTCTAGATAACTAAGATACAAATAGCACTTATCATGGCTCTAGTACCAATGTGTTTAAAAATTTATAATATACTATAATTTATATATTATTATAGTAATAACTAATAATTATTATGAGTGTTATAATAATTAATATKATATATATTGATATGTTACTAAAAATAGATGAGGGTTACAATATCAAATCATGGAAATAAACTTTATTATATGGCCCCTCTTAGAACAGAGCCCAAAACTGCATGAATCATAAATGTGTTCAGAGTTCTCAGCAGGTGCTGGTRGGTCCCACATAATCTTAGGTGCCAAGAGAAATAGTTTAAGAGCTGGATGAGCTTTTAGGCCAGCATTTGTGGAAATATGTCCATCAAAATCCAGCCCAAAGACATTAAATTGATTAGTACATTTGGTCAGCTTTAAAAAAAAATATTGTTCAGGAAGAGTACAATAACAAAAACAGTGTTAGAATAAGCTCCTGGTGCTTTGAGAACCGTTTCCAACTCAAATGGTTGCAGATGTCACTGAGAGTTCCTGAAATGGCTGTGTTTGGTGCCTGGCTCTGGAGGTGAATTTCCAAGAAGGGATGCAAAACACRGGTTCAAGTCAAGGCTCCATCCTGGGAAAGCTTGGCCTCACATACTGGCTCTCAACTTGAGCAACAAGGATCAGCAGAGACATGCAGAGGCAAGAGGCTGYTCAACTTATTACTGACAGATTGATGGGGGTTGCAATATCAAATCATGGAAATAAGCTTCACTATCTGACCCCATCAGATGGGCTGATGGACAAAGGAGTCGAAAACATCCCAGAGTCTGACAAAGTCTCTAAGCTAACCTAGCAGGGTCCCATCAGGGCCACCATGAGACCCAAATCTGTCCTTGATGACTATGGGAGCATCTCTTTGTAGGCCCCCGTCTTTGTCAAAGTGCAAGACAACGTCATCTCAAGAGAGGCCATGATCACAGTCACTCGGTCATCTCCATGGCGATCCTTGGGACCACAGAGTCCTCTGGGTAGCCATAAAACAGGATCTGTGCAATAAAAGGAGACAGGCAGCAATACTGGGGAGAAAAACTGGGGTGACTGAGGGGGTCCAGGAGGCTGTCCAAAGCAGTATCTATGGGGAGACGTTTCAGGTGGCAGAGGTTGCAAGTGACAACGGGAAATGACTCACATGCTCCAGCCAACTGTTGTGATCAGGCTCCAAAATGTCAGCCTGGGTCCAGCATAGGCTAAGTCAGCTAGGGTCAGGCCCAGCAATGGCCATGTGTCTTCATAGGGGTCTTGGTTGCTGGGCACATCTATCTGGGGTCAGGTGTGAGGCCAGTGTGTGAGCTCTACACTTACTGGTGTAATGACACATCCTTAGAGTTGACACGGGAACAATTTCTTCAAACACAAGACAAGGACAGAGGCTTTTTGTCTGCTACTCAAACGTCATCAAATAAAAATGGCAGAGGTACTTGGCACCATTAAGTTACCGGCTCATGTGGCCTTATTTCTTTCCAAGGGAGGAGCTTCCAAGACAAAACCCACACCTGTTACCATGGAAGCCAAACTTTCTTTTCTATACTTAATCTAGAGATAGTTATCACTTAAAAAGAGAAGATAGAACACAGCTATGAACTAATTTCTTAGGAATCCAGTTTCTTTTTACATAAGGATTCTAGAAATTGAATCTTAGTTACTTTGAAGGTAGAGAAACTATAATTAAGATATATTTAAAGACCTTCTCTTTGATATGAGAATGAATAACTACCAAGGTTTGATTCTAGTCTGATTCATTTAAAAATATCAGTCAAGTACAATATGAAGGGTGATTAATAGACATGACAGTAGTGACATGGCAGAAAACCATGTCTTTGTTCTAAAAAAACAAAAACAAAATGAGATTATTTTTCTTTAAAATTTCCCAAACTGAAATATTATATAGTATTGAGAATTCTTTTAAACCTTGCACTATACAGGAAATAATGTTTATGATGGGTAAAAATACATAAAATTCTAGTCTGGGCTAAGACTTCATATTTTATAGGAAGTCTTATATGCTCAAAGAGTGGTCTCAGAATCAGCGGCAGCATCAGCACCACCTGGGAACTTATTAGACATGTAAATGATTGAATCAGAAACTCTGGGAGTGGGACCTAGGTGATTCCCAGGCACCCTAGGACTTAAGAACCACTGCAGTGACAAGGTCTCAGGTCCAGCAAGGACAGAGTATGACTCTAAGCCCTGAAGTGGGAACGTTCCAGTAGACATGCTCCATATCACAGGGATTGTCCTGTGATAATGAGAGACTTCTCTGTGTTGTTGAGGTGTTTGCTGTGGACACATTTCCATGGATATGCATAATGGTCAGACAGCTGCTGATATTTATTTATGACTACTTATTGACTGCTAATGAAGCAACATGAGACAGCCTCAACCTTTTGTTTCTGCTATCCCCAATCTTTCTTTGCTTTAGTCATTGGCAGAACTCATTCATACACAAAAGAAAAATTGGTTTACTTAAAGCAGGCTGTCACAGCCTTGCCACGATTGACATTTGGGCTAGATCATTTCTGTACTGGGGAGCTGCCCTCCATTGTAGGAAGTTGACCAGCATCCTTGGACTCTACCCACCAGATGCCAGTAGCAGTTCCCCTCCTCCTCCATCCTGATCCCCCAACTAAATCATGACAATCCAGAATGTCTCCAGACATTGTCAAAGATCTCTTGGGGACAGAATTGTACCTGCTTGAGAACCACTGATTTAAGCCAAAGCAGTAAGGACACAAAGTGGTCACAAAGGAGCAACGTGGCAATGAGAAGCTGAAGTGGGCTTCCAGCAGCCAAGGGTGACTCACGTTGTAGGACCGGCCGTGCCTCTGTCTCCACTGCACCAGCACTACCTGGGCGACAACCAGGGTGCAGAGGAAGATCAAGATCATCTCCACGTGCATGGACTCGTGGCCACGGTGCATCTTGTACATCCTCTCCTGCTGCAGACTGGAACCAGCAAATGAGGTCATCTGAAAAAGCCCTCAACCTTTGCACATTTAGCGAAAGAGAAAATAACAGGTTGGGCTCATAGGAAGAGGAGGATTGCAAAAGCAGGTAGTAAGCTTTGATCACAATGCTTCTCTTTATTTTACCCCTTCCCCTTAGGTTTGGGAAAAGGACAGCAGATTCTATCAGCAAAACCAGTTCCTCTCAGTCCTTTGCCTCCCCATGTGATTTTGAGTTCACTTTTTTTTTTTTTCTTTCCAAATTAAGTAATGAAGCCGAGAAGCAAGATGGGCACTGGGAAGACAGGTTCCAGTCCCTGATGGGCCACTTCATGGACCCATAATCTTGGAAAGTCATTTATCCTCAGTTTCCTCATCTATAAATTTAAGATAATCCCTTTGTACCTCATGGTACTTATGATGTAAGCACATGTTATTTGTAGCTATATCAGGAAAAATATATATATTAGGCTGAGTCATATGAAACTGACATTTTTTGAAAGTCAAAAGCAGTAGAATGTTGGTAATTTCCACCATTTTTGATAAAAAGGATATCCTGCAGAAGGAGCCTATGCCCAAACGGGAGTATATTATCCATGGGGCAAATGAAAGCTCCAGAGTGAGCTTGTTGTATAAATTATTATACAACTATTATAGGAAGGAAGAATAGGCCTAAGCATTTTCTTAGATGAGCACAAACATTCAGATGATAGTCGGACTTTCAATTTTTAGCTGAACACTTAATTTTTTCACAGTGATTGAGAAAATGACTAAAATCATATGGCATCTGGTTTGAAGTCCTAGAATAGAAGTGACTTTGAAGAAAACCTATAGCAGTGGTTCTTGACCTTTGCTGCCAGTTAAAATCATTAGAAAGTCTTACAAACCCCAGTGCCCGTGCAGTACCCCAGATCAATTAAGTGATCTTTGCTGGGTATTAGGAGCAGGATTGTGTCTTCCACCTCCAGGATTCATGCGTTAAAGGTTCACCTTGCCAGCCCAAACTCACCAACACCTTGATCTTGGACTTCAAGCCTTCAGAACTACGACAAAATAAGTTTCTTTTGTTGAAGCCTGCCAGGCTGTTCCATACTGTCATGGCAGCCCTGACAAACTAATACAGATGACCAGGATGGGACCTAGCCATTGGTAATCAATTTTTTAAAAAATTTAAATTAAATTTATTTTGAACTGATACATAAAAACATAAAAATATGCAGATTAATGGAGTATCATGTGATGTTTTGATACAGTATACACAGTAAAACGTTTAAGGCATCAGTCATTTTTAAATCTTTGCATGTGATTTTAAGGGGCAGCCAAGATTGAGAGCCACTGGCCTAGAGGAAGAGAGAGGCCCAGATTAAACATTAGAGAAAGGGGGAAATTTACAAATGCTGCCAATTGCTTAGCATTCTCTCACCAGCAGCAGGGCAACACCATTAATCACAAAATCTCTTAAAGTGAACTTTCCATTTAGGATTGGTTACAGTATGCAGTTAGCTAGTGTTTCAATCAGAAAACGCTGCAAGGGAATATTCTGTGCCAAAACACTGATTTTTTTTTTTTTTTTTAAAGGCACTTGATGGGTATGTAATTGGGTCTCTCCTCTTCCAGCATTTCTATACAGTCTGGAAGTACCCTTCAGAAAAGGGCCCCTGCAAATCCCAGGGGTGCCCCCTGCTGGTGAAGACATAGAAATGAACCAGTAAATATTCCTGCTTCACTTCAGCTTCTTGGAGATGGACTCTTTGAATGTTACTGTGGGGAGGCATAAACAGGCGGACTGAAAGCCTTTCGTTCTTCAAGAGAAGAAGCTGGAGTCTAGATCAGAGAATCGACTTGAATAAAATTACATGACTTTTAGTTACTGTTGAAAGCTGCACTCAGGAGACAGGAATGATTTCTAGAAGCTCATACGAAAGAAAAAACTCATTTGTCACTCAGAAGAAAAGAAAGTGAAGAAAAATGAAAAGGGTACCAGAGGTTGGTTATGGTTTTTATACACTCAAATCCGAAATAAATATTTAATATTCTGTGTAATTAATGGACTTCCAACTTAGGCTATGAAGATATAGGAGTGAATTCATTGTTGATAGAGAATATCACTTGCACAGACAGAAAACAAAATATGCTTTATGATATTACTTCATTTGTGTGTGTACAGATGCATATATATACATACAAACATACACACATTGAAAGCACATAGCAAATGGATTGATCTATGTGGAAGAACTTCAAAGATCACAAATTGATATACAATGTAATAAGTATTTCCAGTTTTGAGTAGGGATATTCATAATTGATCACTATACGACAAAAAAGGGAAGAAATCTTCATTTCTCCTCTTTTTGCGGTGCTCACAGTGTCCAAGAGTCCCATTGCAGGTCCCAGCACATAAAGAAATTCATATGTTTTATGTGCCTAAAATAAACAGCCACTTGATACTGCCATATTTTGAAGAATATGTTAATCCAGCTTTGTGGGATTGCATGGATCACACTAGCAAACACATGAAATCCGTGCAGATTTGGTTTGAAGTACCTTTTTGCTGTAGCTACACGGTTTCCTCATTCCACCTTCTTTATCCCAGGAAATATACAAATGAACTGATGACTTCATTCAGTTTCTCAAACTGTTAAGATGCGAATCTAATTTTTAATAAAGCGATTATAAAAAAATACTGATCACTTACTTCCACTCATCATCCGCAGAAAGCTTTGTGTGAGAGATCTGAAAAACATGAAAAACGCCCTTGTTAAAAAAAAAAATCTCATTTTCTTAGCTTTTATTTTATAGCTTATATTTTAGAGCATTCTAGGAGAAACCTAAACTGTTGAAAATAGCAATGTTCCCTGGGACTGGAATAATTTAGAATGAAAATCCTAATGAAATAAAATACACATTACAAGGTACACACAGGGTAGCATGTATCCAAACATCAAATTACCCCATTAATGTGTACATTTATATTTTGTGTATCAGTTCAAAATAAATTTAATTTAAATTAAAGAAAATTACGGAAGGTTGGTTCCCAATCTGGAAATCTGTATTAGTTTGCTAGGGCTGCCATGATTTTATGGCACAGACTGGGTGGCTTAAATGACAGAAACTTATTTTGTCATAGTTCTGGTGGCTTGAGGTCCAAGATCAAGGTGTCGGTGAGTTTGGGCTGGCAGGGTGAAGTACTAGGGAGGAAGCCTTTAACAGATGAGTTCTGGGGCTGTTAAAACTGAAACAAAACAAACAAATGAAATAACAAGAACAAAACTCCAGTGATCAAGTCACCACTGATAGATATTTGATTCTGCTCCTAAGTCAGAGAACCAGATGTGGTTCCATTCCTGCCCTTGTGTTTTGGCAGATCACTGAAGGTCACAGAGAGTGACTTCCCCTATCACAGGGACAGCCACTCCGGTTCCTAGGCTATGGTGTATGAATCCAGTATCCCTAAAACCGATCTGTTTTGCTGGTATCTTAAATGATGCCAGGTAGAAAATATGGCTCCAAGGTCAAGGCTTTAGAGACTAAACGGACCAGAGGCTTCTGTGTCCTCCTGGAAAAAGGAGCATCATTTAAGAAGGGGTTACTGTGGCCTTGTGCCCTTGCAGATTGAGCAGGCATCAGAGAGACCTTTCCCAGGACAGAGTCCATTCGTGGGCTGCTTTCCCTTGGTTACTGCTAACTTACCATATTTGGTTATTTGAAGTCTTGGACACCAGTCACCAGAAAGACATAATCTTACAACCTTCATTGAGACCACAGAGCACCTAACCCCTCGTCCAGCAATGTTAAAAGACATTCTTTCAAAGCCCAAATCCCCAGTGATGGCAAAGAAAAGGGAAAGCAAATAAAATATCTGTTAAACAATCTGATATTAGCCAGATCTTCTCCCCCATGTTTTCTTCTTCAAATGGTGTAAGCCATCTGGGCAGAGAGAAAGAAACAAATGCCATCCACGGTTTACTCTAGGATCTGTCTGATTGGAGATACACAGGCTCCTCGGGAACATCTARGCTTCTGCCACAGGCATGAAGCATTCCCTTATAAAACACAACAAGGCCTCGGAAGACATGGATGAGAGTCACAGACAGGCTTAGGAAGGATCGGTACAATGCCAGGAAAACAGGACAGAGGTGGTGCTGTGACTGAGGCTGGCAGCTTCTCCATGGCTCCCTACTCACATGGTGGTCACAGCAGCCAGACTCAAGTGCCAAGTTCCAGCAGTAAAGCAACCTTCAGGTAATAGTTGTACCTGAGTACGCTTCTTGGTTTGAGAGGCCCTTCTCTGCTCTTTAGGAGAAAACACTAGATGGGTTTGGAGCCTTGAGACAGCACCACCCACCACCACTGAGCTGGCTAGTTCCTTGGATAACAACCTTGGGCACATCACTAATCTATGTTTGTCTCCAGATACTGGATATTGATATAGTAACTGCTAGTTACTTCACTGCAATATTAGGAGCATAAATGAGGCTGTACGAGAATTTTGTAGAAAAGTGCTTAAACCAAGTTACAACCTTCAGGACTCCCTTCTTTTTGTTGTTTGAAGTTCACAGTGCTTGGTATTGAAATTATGGAACTGGGTTTTTAGTTTCCTTAAGAGAAAAATTCCATTTGTATCTTACTAGTAAAATAGCCCTGGATATAACTGTCTCCAACTATCCATCAGATTGTAAGTCACTTTTTAAAAAATATTTATTTATGTATTTTTAGTTGGTAGTTGGACACAATACCTTTATTCCATTCATTTATGTGGTGCTGAGGATTGACCCCAGGACCTCGCACCTGCCAGGTGAGTGCTCTACCGCTGAGCCACAACCCMAGCTCTGTAAGTCACTTTTAAGGAAGTATGATAAGTTATTCTTTTGAAAAGTAGAAAAGTTTTAGAGGTGGAAATTGTAACCTGAATTTTTTTTTTTTTTGTTAACCAAAAGTAGGGACTTCCTTAGGTAAAGTGATATTGAAATCCTATTTCTTAGAGAATAAGTGAATTAGGATGACAGGACTGATGTTGGTGTTGGTGATGATGATGATATTCTTAGAGATATCTCTTGTCTAGTTTTAGTCCCCAAGAGTACAGCATTTTTCCCTATGGAGGGGTTCTAATTTTGGGGAAATGTTTTGTGACATATGATTTTACAAGTCCATTGGAAATTCTATGAGGATTTACTTTGGAAATGAAAATGACACTCAAATTCATCTGGAAATATAGCATATAAGGATAGCAGGGAACATTTAGAAGAATAAAGCCTAGAGCCTYGGCTTATCAGACTCTGCAATCCAGAATAAAGGCCACAGAAATCAAGTGAAAGCAGAGGATGAATGAACAGCACACAGAGTCCAAGAATAGACTCAACTGCACATGATGCCGAAGTCACTTCAAATCAATGAAGGAAAGTGTACTGTTCATTAAATGGTGTCAGGACAACTGGCTAGGCATTTGGGAAAAACAAAGCTGGATCCACCCATATCTCATTTCTTGCTTCAAAATGAATATCAGATGGATCAAATATTTAAATGTAAGGAAGTAAAATCTTAAAAGCACTAGAAGAAAATATGGGTAAACATTTTCATGATATTGCAGTGTAGAAGGTATTTCTAAGTATGATGTAGAGCCCAGACATGATAAAGTAAAACAATAAACAGATTTCAAGGACATAAAAGTTGAAAGACAAATTAAACTGGGGAAAATACGACCCATGTGAGAAGCAGAAAGTTAATAAGTCAAATATAAAAAGAGCTTTTTACAGTATAATAAGAAAAACATTCCCAAGGACAAAGTACTTGAATAAGAAATTTACAAAAGAAATATAAATAGCCAATATATTGATGGAAAGATGTTTAAGCTTACTAATAACTGTGATTTAAAAAAAAAAGCAAGTGAAAACAAGATCTTCCAGTGAAGCATGGTAAATTGATATGGTTTAAATGTGAAGTGTCCCCCCAAAAGCTCCTCTGTTAATGCAGGAATGCTTAGAAGTGAAATGATTGGATTGCGATAGCTGTAATCTAACAGTGGATTGATGGGTATAATTTGAATGGAATTCTGTGTGGCAACTATAGACAGAAACAGGTAGGGAATAGCCAAAAGAAGTAGATCATTGGTACATGCCCTCAGGGATTATATCTTGTCCCTTAGTTGGTCTGTCGGTCGGTCTGTCTGTCTGTCTSTCTCTCTCTCTAGTTACCATGAGCTGAGCAATGTTCCTCCACCACATCCTTCCATCAAGGTGTTGTGTCTCACCTTGGGCCCAGAGTAATGCAGTCTGCTGACCATGAACTGAATCTCTGACACTTGGCCAAAATATACTTTTCCTTCTCTAAGTTGTTCTTGACAGGTATTTTGTTCACAGTGACAAAAACCTAACTAACACAGAAACCAAATATGTGCATTTACTTCCTTTCCTTCCTCAAACACCACTAGAATGACTGCAAAAGAATAAAAATAACATAAACCTCCAAGTACAAGAGGAGGCGAGGAGTCTAAGCAATCAGTTTTGGAAACTGGAAAGCAGACGGTCTGTGGACAGTGACTGAGAGCAGAGGACGCTGGCACAGCTTTGTTTTCTCTACAGTCAGGATCCTCCAATACCCACACTTTGACCTCCAGAACTGTGCAAAGTTTCTGTTGTACAGTAGCCCTAGAAAACTAATACAGGCATGTTCAAACTTCTACCCTCTCAGTTCCTTGCTACCACCCAAGTTTGCAGTCAGCAGTGCACATAGGAAGCCTGTGGGTCTAGCACACTGTGAGGCTCATGAGTGGATGTGCAGGAAAGGCTATAAGAGCAGACTGGTTTATAATAACTAGCGACGTGGCTTGGAGACCTCCACTTGGGCTCTTGGAGGCCTAGCATGTTAGACATGCACTTGTCCACTTGGCTTGGGCTACTGATAGCCAGACTCAGGCCTTGTGTAGGAAAACTGGATTTATTTATGGGGAACTATCCAAGTCAAGAGAAAAGAACTCTAGATATGCCACTCCTTGTTCTCCCATGAAAAGGCCCGGCCAGGTCAGCCTTCAGCCCAGTCTGCCTGTCAACAAGCCCTCCCTGCCAGCAAGAGCTTCCAAACAGTGGACAGGCAAACAGCCCAAAGTCACTATATATTTGAGAAAGAAGTTTCTGCAACTATAATGGACAAGAAAACTGTATTAGTCAACTTTCTGTTGATGTGACCAAAGTACCTGAGGAGGAATGGTTTATTTTGGCTCACAGTTTCAGATGTTTCAGTTCATGGTCCTCTGGCTCCATTGTTCTGGACCTGAGGTGAGGCAGAATATCATGGCAGAAGGGTGTAGTGAAGACAGCTGCTCAGCTCTTGGTGGCTGGAAAGCAGAGGTGGGCTAGAGGGGGACAAGACAGTGTTCCTAAGGGCATGCCCTCAGTGACCTACTTCCTCCAACCATGCCCCCATCTGCCTACAGTTTCCACCCAGTAGTCCACTCAAAATATTAATCTATCAGATGGATTAATCCACTTAGAAGGTCAGAGCCCTCATGATCCAATCATTTTCTAAAAATCCCACCTCTGGACATTGCTGCCTTGCTTAACACAGGAGCTCTTGGGGGTCATTCTGGATCTAAACAATAAAGACTATAGAAAAACCGACAAAAGTTCTCAAAATAAAAAACAAGAGGACAGAAATGAAACATCTCATGAAGGGATTGAAGGTAAATCAAATAATTCTCTCAGAAAAAAAATTTAAAACTCTAAGAGAAGGGATATAGG